CAAGCTTAGGTTTTATTGGGACAGAAGGAAGAAGGCATAGGAAACTGGTTGTCTGAGAGAGTGGGAAAGCGGTGGCCCCAAAGACACAGAACTGAGAGACTAGCCTGAGGCCAGAGACACTCTTTACCACAAGACAGACTTGCCTGGTGCCAGCACTGTGCAGCTTCTGTCCTCTACACCATTCGGCTTTCAGAGCTTCTGATTCTTCTGTCAGAAATTCAGAAGCCAAAGTTCTTTTCACATTTTGGAGAAATAATATACAGGGACCACGTAAGACATTTATCATTTTATCTCTGGTAATAATGGAATCTGAGGCATTCTATCAACTGGCAACACTTTGTCTCAACTACCTCTGTTTGTTCTACTCGCTGGACCATTCTGCTACTGGGCGAGTTTTCCCTCTTCATACAGTTGAACTTGCTAGGTGTCCCAACCCTAGCTGGAATTCAGTATCTGCTTGTTGAATGGATTAGTCTTTTGCATTGTTCTTTCATTCATTCATTCATTCATTCTGTAAATATCAGTAAGTGCCTACTACATGCCAATATCATATAGGCACTTTTTCCAAGCAACAGCTCTCCTCTACACAGTAATTCTGCTTAACCTCCATGAAGTCTTTCTAGATTAATCCCATATGGGTTGAGTACTTCACTTGCTGCTTGTCTGCTCCAAAGCCTTCAGCATTTCCCCCATTTTCCTGAACATGGGGCACTTCCATGATATTCCTATACAGTTCATGGGCAGAAGATGTTTCTGCCTTCCCTGCATCCCCACTGCCCTCTTTTGATAATAGCTCCCTGGAGAATTTAAATTTTAAGCAGAGAGACAGGTAGAAAACGTTCAAAGCATTTTTGATGGCAGCTTCCGGAACAGACTGCTCTTCCTCGTAGATTTCAGGAGCTGCCTGGTGGTTACTGTCCCTCCACACGTAGCTACTCACACAGCAGCTACTCACACAAGCCTCAAAAAGTGAGCTGGAGTTTCTGCCAGTTTTCTTCTTGAGCCTTTACTTGTGATCTACTCTTAGTATGTAGTTTTTCCCAAGGCATACTTTTTCCTGCTCTGCTCAATCTGAGCAGGAATCTCCTCTTTGCTTTCAATGCTAAGCCAACAAACCATTTGAGCACCTACTTCAGGATGAAGAGTATAAATAAATAACTTCTCAAAAATTTCTTCTTTAGAGATTAAATATAATGAACAATACTGTTTTCAAATCATTTTTAATAAACTATTTTAAGAGCTTGGAAACAAATAATGAGACCTCTGATATCACGATAGTACAAATTAAGAGTCTAAGATTATAGCTATCAAAGATAAACGAAGTAAAATGAGGCATGGGATTTACTGTAGTTCATTTTTTAATTCCTTTTTATCTAGAAGGTTGTTGTAAGAATAAAATGATATGATATAAAGTAAATAGCACCATGCTTGGCACATGGTAAATGCTCAACAGATGTTGTTAATCTGGTTCAAACTTGAGGTGAAATTGACAATGTTTTCACATTAACTACCTTAAAACTTTGCAAACGTTAAAAGATATAGATTTCTAAAGATAAAACCATGACTCTCATAGAACTATAATATGAAGGCATGTCAGAGATTGTATTTAACTACTTAATTAATGAAGGGACCAGGAAGATGTTACAATTGTCTCAAAGGAGAATTCAAACATCAGATACCCACATAACACGGTATAGAATGAATTTATAAATAAATGCAAAAATGGCTTTTACTGAAACTATTGATCCCTCCAAGAACGTTTCATTTGTATTTCTCTATATAAAAATCTTTGCATCTATATCAGTTACCTGCAATTCACAGAGTTTAAAAATAGCTTTACTACACTGAAAGATGCAAACACCATAGAATCCCATAGCCCAGAATGATGTGATTTAGGCATAGTTTTCTATGGAAGACATCAATAATCCTTTTAATCCACGCCAAAATCTTTTACAATTTTTCTTGACACATCGATCTTAAGCAGAAGTGTTTTGCTGAATTAAACCTATACTCCTTTAAAACAAACTCTTCCCTGATTATAACATTATACATTCAAATTATAAAGCCCTTAGATAGTAAAATATAAAGAAAATAAAAATCTTCATAATCCTATCACTCCAAGGTAACTACTATTAATGCTTAAAGTATATCCATCTGTTTTTTTCTAAGTATTTGTGTGTGCACAAATGGAAATATGTCAACTGTTTCCAACTCAGTTTTAATAAACTTTGTTATAGAAAGTTATCTACATACTATCTAATTGTGTTTTTATATTCCACATTATAATTCACTCTTTTCCTTAAGATCAAAAACATTTTCCCTTGTCATCATTTTTAATAGCTACAAAATATTTCATTATATGTTAGAACCATAACAAATCCACTACTATTAGAAATTTAGGTTGTAACTAGTGTTTAGTTATTATAAATAAAGCTATGTACCCATTTTCTGACAACCTTTTTCTTGCAGTGGTATCGTTTCACTGAAAAAGCCAAACATTTCACATGGCATCTGAGTTACCAGATGTTGCGATCCTTAGAGTGCCTGATGTGCCTCTTCTGCTTTAGCTAACAGGACTACAGTGGCAGACAAGGATTTGAATTAGAATTGGAATTACCAGCTACTCAGAACAACCACCCTTGTCATTTTCATGAGACACCATAAAGACTTAGTCATGTTTGGAAGTTTAAAATAAGAACTAAGATCATCATGAGCTTTGACAGTCAAGGCCATTTAATTCAAGCTGATTTAATTCAAGATAATTTTTAACACAATAATGTTTATAAGGAAAAATACATTATCTACGGCTTAGTTTCTTAGAATGAAGAGCCTGAGGAAATGGAGAAAAATAGCTTTCAGGTGGGTAACAAATTGTCAAATATTTTCCTTGAATTTTTTTTTATAGGAGATGGTATTGGATTAGAAACAGTAATGTATCAATAGGAGCATGACATGAAACAGCTGGCTCCTCTCATTAAAATATCAGATTCAAGGAGAGGGTGTAGCTCAGAGGTAAGGCACCAGACCGCTGACCAAGAATATCAGCTTCAGTTCAGCTGTCTTCATTTTAAAAATTTGAAAAGGGTCCAGAGAAAGGAAATTATTAAAATGTAAAACAAGGGATCCAAAGTGCTACACGCTGCCATTTAAAGGAAGTGGTTGTTGAACTTGACTCAGAGTAGGTGCTCAATATTTGCTGAATAGTAGAGGTAATAAAAAATTGACATTTAGCTGTGTGATTTTCAGGGGGATGGCAATCACTTAAGCTAGTGCCTTCATTTTAATTCATAATGTCTACCACTGTTTTCCAACTATTCAAAGATAATGTAAAAAAAAAACACTGACCATTTTATTCTCCTGCAATAAAGAATGGACTTTTTCCCATCAAAAAGGCTTCAAATGGAGCCACAGAGTTTGGTTTGGACTAAGAAAAATACTATTAAAATAATGATCAGATAATTGCAACAAGCTGCAGAGGGGACTTTTAGAAACAATATCCATAGAGATCTCCGAAAATAGTACAAACAAGGATAGTATAGGGATCCCATAGAAATAAAATATTTTTCAAAAAACAGAAGGTGGACCAGATTCAATGTTCAGGTATTCTGCAGCTCTAGAGGCAAACTGAGTAGATTTTTGCATGTATACAATAAATTGCTGATTTCTCTAAAATAGACACAATGGTAAATTGAAGCTTGCTACCTACTGCTCACACAAAAGTTGCATATGATGTAAAATCAGGCAATAACAATCTAGCAACATTAGTGTGCCTACCATGTGCCAAGTATGAACCAGGTAGGCAATACCAACTTGGCCACTGTCAGAAAGAGAACACTCAATGGGATGGATGGCAGGACTGAGATAACATGATAATTCTCTTGGTCTTATGTACCTTCTCACCACTTCTGGCAAAATCCAAGCCACAGGAACTACCCCATGGTGTTGATTCCTCCCAGTAGTGATGGAGAATCTCACTATTTCTTTGGCAGGCCCTGTCACTCTTCAGTGTTCAGCATTGTTTGCTATTCAGTCCATTCCATTCAACCTTTAAATATATATTATTTGTCAGGCACTTTACAAAGCACAATACCAAAAGCACTTTTCTCAATGTGCTGCTGACTGATTCCTAGATTCTGTAAATAATAAGCAGGTCTGCCCTCACTTCTTCTCATACTCCCTCAGGCAAAATATCTTAATGTGTAAAAATAATGGCCACGTTTCCCTTCACATGGAATCTGAGCATGGCTGACAGAGAACTGAAGCCACAGTGATGTGGGGTCTCCAAATGGCACACCTAAAAGGTGCCACAAGAGGAAAAGTCTTAACTAACATTTTCAACAGACCCATCCTTTGACTATTATCTCAATTAAATATGAGAAGCTGCATTGTCGTTTTAAGTGTTTAGAAGGAAAAAAACCCATGTAACATATCTCACAGTACGCCTGTTCCTTGAAGAAAAAGATACTCAACTTCAAAAACAAATCGGTATTCAGTTACACATTTTTTAAGTATTGTGAAGAACAGAAAGATGGGAATAGGGTGGTTTGGACAGAGGCGTTCCTTGCTGTTTTAGGCTGCCTTGTATTTAATTATACTAAGAGAAAAAAAATGTTTTAAGTAAAATCTTTCATTTTTCTTGTGCTATACTCAATCATTTTAGAGATAAGACACATCTGTAGTTTTTTTAAACATAGGGTAAGGGAAAAAATAAAATCTAGCCCAGGACAGGGACAAGTAATAATAACATAAATATGCTTACTCCTTGATTCTAACAGCCAAACTGTAAGATGGAAATCCTGTTTTCTTTAAAATCTCTATCCATATCATTGATTTTTTGCTACCAAGGTAGCAAGTAACCCCCACTTTCGATATTAGGAGAGTTACCTAAGTATGATAGCATTTCTTTCAAAACAAAGTTTAAGTGAACACGGAAAAGATGAAACAGGGACAGTGAGCATTTCTCAGAAGCAGCAACTTCATGTTGGAAATTGTCCTCTTACCTTCAAAGAACTGCTGCAGGGCCTCATTTTCACCCACCACATCCATGGTGCTGTGGTCCTAGTACTACTTCCTCATAAAACAATGGTTATCAGACCTCAGGAAGTAAGTGTTGTCCTTTTGATTCAAAGCCTATGAATGCTCTTGAAAAATCTTCATTTTCTTTTTATTGGAGTGAAGCATATCTTCGGCTATCAATTTGTTCCCAGAAAGATGGCTGAGTTTTCAAACGTGATTATAAAACTGGAAGAATATGCAACCATGCATTTTTTAAAAATTCATAAAGGAAAGTGGTAGCAAATTCATCTATCTTAATATAGAGAGCTGTTTCTACTCTGCCTTTCGTCTTTAAGGACCTTTGTCCTTAGTGACACATGTAATTACATAAATAGGCAATAAATACATAGTCTTATCTCTTATTTGTCCTTTTACACCAGTGTATCTCCCCCTTTATCAACTAGATCCATTTAGCTACCACCAAGAAAAGATACTTATTTTTTTCACTTAGAAAAAAGGAATAAATCAATATAATCACTTTCATAGATACCTACAATCACAAGTAATTTTAAAAGGCTTTTGATAATGAAAAGTTAGAATTTGTTAAATATTTCCAAATTTACAGCAAAAACTTAAATACCTTAATGCAAACCTGGTTTATTTCCTCTACAGCTTATTTGCTTCCAAAGCATAAACCATAAAGTATGAGAAGTCCCTCTAACAAGCAACAAAAACTTCATTACGAATTTAATAACTCTCACAGCTGAGTCACTAGTAGCTGGACTCACTCCTAAATATAAAACCATACTCAAATAAATGTTTTATTTTCACTGCTTAGCTATAATTCATTTAATCATAGCCTAAGAAAATACAATTAGGAAATTAAATTATCCTTTCAGCCCCTCCATTTTCTCTCTTTCCCAACTATTTGGAAAAAAAAATAGTATCATAAAATATTCATATACTCTTCACCTACACTTACCAATTACTGACGCTCTCTACATATTATATACATATAAAATATATTTTTATATAAAAAATATATTCATTAAAAATATTTTATCTTTATATATAAAAAATATATATTATATATAACATATTTTTATAAAAATATATATATTATATATAACATATATATTTTTTATAAAAATATATAAAACTTTCCTTTATAAAATATATATTTTATATAATATATAGAGTATATTTACATATATGTGTATATATATATCATATCTATATATGACTTGTCTTTTTGGATCTGAGGCTCAGTGTGACCTTCAAAAGAAGCTCCTAAACATTTTTTCTAAGCTAAACTTAGTTTGCTCATTTTCAAGTAACAGTAAATGTGTGTGAAATTTTAAAATACATGTTTGAAATTATGTCACCTACTAATTCTAATAATGAAACAATAGACAAATTTGGAAAATATTATCATCTCATATATAATTTCTTCCAGTCTCCAAAATATTTTTTATGGCTTTTTGATTTCTGATTAAGGATCCAATGGATGCCCACGCACTGTCTTTGGTTATGTCTTTTTAAATTACAGAACAGTCCTCTTGTCATTTTGGTTGGTTTGTGCTCTTCATGATTTTGAGTGTTTTTTTATAGTCCAGGCTCAATGCCGTGTAGATACCCCATTTTCCGGATTTGTCTGTTATTTCATTAGAATTAGTAGGGGACATAATTCCAAACAGATATTTTAAAATTTCACACATATATATGTTACTTAAAAATGATTAAACTAAGTTTAGCTTAGAAAAGGTTTAGGAGCTTCTTTTGAAGTCACACTGAGCCTCAGGTCTATAATGACAAGTCATCAAGTTGTTTAAAGAAATGAATTTTCAACCATTGTGTGAAGCTGTCTGCTGGGTGCAGGAAATAAAAAGATGAATAAATAATAGTCCCTGCCCTCCATAAACTCAAGTCTAGGGCATGAGAAAAACACAAGTGACTGTAACTCAGGGCAGACTGATGCTGGGAAAAATGTCTCAAGAAAACAGAGGAAGGAGAGTAATTTAATCTGGGAGGAACTGGAAAGGCACCACAAAGAGCTAGGATGTAAATACACTTAAACAGTGGGTAGGGTGTTTTTTTCTATTTTAAAAATTAACAAATAATAACTGCTCATATTCATGGGGTACACAGTGATATTTCCATACATATAACGTGTAGTGATCAGAGTAATTAGCATATCCATCACCTCAAACTTTTATCATTTCTTTATGTTGGAAACATTCAACATCCTCCTTCCAGCTATTTGAAACTATGCATTACTGTTAACTACAGTCAACCTATGGTGGTACAGGATATACTAAACAATGTTTCTTACAACATGAGCAAAGCCTTGGAAGGCAAATAGCACAGATACAGAGATTGTGTGCATAGTGCAGTGAGAGAGGAAATTGGAAAATAGGCTGAAGAAAGATGGTGGTAGTTTATTTCCAATTTTTATGGACACATAATAGTTGTACATACTTACAGGGTACATATATTTTGATACAAACATACAATGGTAATAATCAAATCAGGGTAATTGGGGTATCTATCACTTCAAACCTTTATCACTTGTGTTGGGAACATTTCAAATCCACTCCTTTAGTTATTGTGAAATATACAATAAATTACTGTTAACTGTATTTGACCTGTTGTGCTACCAAACACTAGATCATATTCCTTTTATATAAGTGCATTTTTGCACCCACCTCCCAACCCCCATTACCTTTCCCAGCCTCTGCTATCCACCATTGTATTTACTACTTATGGTGGTAGATTCTGAATGTAATTTGATTATATGCATCATATTCATTCTAAATGTATCTATTGATAGTTTCTAACTGGATGGGTGTGGGGCATGATACAATCCCATCTAACTCAAAGAGATTTCTGTGTCAGAATGTGTTGGCTGAGGCAATAACCAAAGTTTAAGCGGTTAAAAAACTACTGCAAAATCCAGGTAGGCTGTAGTCAAGCTTGAAGTAAGGTGACATAGAACAAAGCACTGGTTACTGACTGGGTATAGGCAGCAAGGATGAAGTCAAATGATTTTTTTTAAGGATTTATATGCCTTTAAGTAAAATATGAATTAAGATGCCTAAGACATGTAGCCTCCGGTTAACTCTAGACTCCCAGGGAAGCTCCCAGCCAAGTTTCCTGGAGGCCACTGGAAATAAGACATCACACTATAATCCACTGCCAAGTGACGATTCTGGATCCTGTCCACCAGTTCACCAACAGACTTCACGTTCTCACCAGCACAGTGATGTGGCAGGAAGCACCACGGAGAAATAAATTAGATTTCATTTAATGGCCCGAGAAGCTACGGTTAGATTTGGGGTTCCAAACTGAAACACCTCCAAGGCCCAGCAGATAAGTGAGTAAAGTGGGTCTTTTAGCCTTGGTGTCAGGGAGACACTCCAGGATGGTGGGCCATAGAGCAAACCAGGAGTGCATGCCCTGTGCAAGGGTGTAGCCACCCAACAGGTGGAGTCACTCAACTTCACCCAAGTGTTGTCATTCAAGAATGTGGGCTCAGTGTTGTCAAAACAGCAAATTTTAAAAGAGCAGCTTTAAATGCAAATTTTAGATTTCATCATTTTTAAATGTTGGCAATTGTTTAAAAACAAGATGGACAAACAGAAAAATAAACCAAAACACTGTCAAGGACAAATAGCACATCGTGTGAAAACGTAACGGAGCCCACAAAATACCACCTTTGTGCCAAGGTCTGCAGAAAGTGAAGAGAATTGAGAAGGAAGTTGTTGGGGGGGACTAGAAAATCTCTATTACAGAGTCCAGAGCACTCTGCTGAGAGCACAATCCAGCTGGTGGAAATGGGATTTAAGTGGAAATTCCTCTGTGAATAACAAATAAGACACATATTTCCCTGATTACAGTCTTGATGTCTCTTACATTTTCCAACTCTCTTGACACCCCCATTTTGCACAGATTCAGTGAAAAGTTGTCCTCTTGAATAGTAATCTAACCTAGTTGTGGTTTGGGTTTGCTTTGGTATTGACATTTCCTAGAGAGCTCCAACAGATAAACAGGTAAAAGCTGAGCTACTTCAGTTAAATCTGGGAATGTGGTGATGAGAGCCTTGTCTCCCTCTTGAGACTGTCCCTGAGAACTGTAGTTCTAGAATCTAATCCTCATGACTCAGACGTTCCTCGGGAAGTAAACTGTGTGTGAACTTGTTCTCCCTTGAGGGAGAACAAGAGTGGATGCAAGGATAGCAGACATTAGTGCAGGAGCTCGAGTGAAAGATAATTGCTTGGACAGAGTGGTAGAAGTGGATATGGAGGGAAGTGGACAGATTTAAGATGTTTGGGAGACAGCTGATGGAATTTGCTGATAACTGGGTTGGGAGTGACAATGACAAATAAAGGAACCCAGAATAAGCCCCAGAATTTTAAGCAACTGAGAGTTCAGCTATGGCAGATTTGTAAGCACAAAAGTTAAACACAAATACAAATTCATACTGCATTGGACTCTTTTTAAGCAGTGTCTTATTTTAAAAAAACAAACATTTTATCTAGGAAAAAATGCAACAATGAAAACCTTTGAAAACAAAAGCCTATGAATAAAAGCAGACCCATTTTAGACTGGATGCACAGAACAAAAACACATAGGATTCTTGTGGTGGTGATGGGAGTAAGTAACAGGTTGCAAGTTTTTTAAGGATTAAGATCCAACGTTTAGAAACCAAATCTTGTTCTTCCAATGTGGATCCTTAGTCAAAGGCTGTGAATTGTCTTCAAGCCAAGAGAAATCATGAAGAACACTTGATTCAGTCTTTATTGGAGGCCAGAAAGGAGTGGCGACCTACTTGACCTTCCCTGTTTTCAGGAGCCAAACCTGGACCAGATTGCAGGTCTGAGTGACTCTCAACCCAAAACTGTCTCCATTAAGCCAGGCTCTCACCCCAGCTCTAAACCAATTTCTAAAAACTTGTCCAAGAGTCTTCCTCTTCAGAATTGGTAATCTTGGCAATTAAATTCTGTGTAGAAACACTCTCCTGAACATAATCAGCACTCTGGTTCTTCCTTTTCTGTTGCTTTGCTCTAACAGTTCCTCCTTTCGTCTTTGCACGCTGCTTCTTCTCTGTCATAGTAACTCAGAGCTCAGTGCTGTAATTCATCTCCAAAATGTCCCTAAAGCTCCCATGGCTAACTACTCCCAAAATTATCTCCTGGACTGACCTTATTAAATTTAGACTTGCATACCCAATACCTACTTAACATCTCTACTTTGATGCTCAGTGGGCACCTCACACTTGATGTATTGCCCAACGCTGAAATTCTGTTTTGCACGTACCCAAATTTTCCCCCACCATATATTTCCCCATCTCAACAAACTGCAATAGCTCAAGCCAAAAGCCTAAGATTCTTTCCTTTCCTCTCTCTGAAATGCAATTCATCAACAATCTTGTCAGCTTTTATTTTTTATTTTTGGAATGAAGGCACATATAATTGGGCTAATAATGCTTGGTTCATAATACACTACCGATGTTCTATGCACAATTCTTATTCATTTGTTGGCGCACTTAGTTTTTAAAAATTTTTAGAGGGGGGCATGCTCTATGTTGCCCAGGCTGGAATATAGTAGCTATTCACAGGTGAAATCATAGCACACTAGAACCTTGAACTCCTGGCCTCAAGGGATCTTTCCACCTGAAACTCCCAAATAGCTGGGACTACAGGCATGCACCACTACACCCAGCTCATGTACTTACTTTTAATGACAAATGAACCACCCCAAAACCCACCAGCTAACCCAGCAACTAAAACATTACCAGTGACTTACTCATAGATTTACTCCTCCTCTACCTCTCTCACACCCAGAGGTAACCACTATCTTGAATTTTATTACTACTTTTTAAGTTCTGTCACGTCAGTGCCTAAATAGCTGTTCAGTTTTAGCTGTTTTTGACTTTTATGTCAGTTTTCTCAGAATTGCTTTTTCATTC